TTTGCGTGGATTATACTAATCTAGACCTGGAGTACACAGCAACGTCTTGGGAAGGAAATACCTTTAAAAAATCCGTCTCAATATTGGATTTTCACTTGAAAACGAAACTTTAGTTTTATTTATGATTTTACTAAATTTTTCACATATATTCAATCATTTTTTTGTTTTAGAAGAAAAATGGTAGGCCGAGGGTAGAGTTTCTTTATTTTCTCGCCTGTAAAGGTTAACGACCTTGTACAGTACTGTTTTGAGCACTGTACCCTTGTACACAGCTAGGGTGTACACTGTACACTACAGTGTTGTAAATGTGAAATATAAGTGAAAATGTGAGTTTACAATGGGACGTAGTTCAGGTGGAGCACAGGAGGGATTAAAGGAGATGGAACAACGGGATTCTCCTCTCCTGGATCAGGATGAAGGAGGAGAAGGAGAAGAAGGAGGGATGAATGAACGAGGAAGGATGGACGAAGAGAAAGGAGAATATTTGAATCGAACAATCAGTTTAGATTTTCAACTAACCGACATTCAACAACTACAAAAAACAATCAGGTAAATATATTTCTTAAAGATTGTTTATAAATCTTTAAAACAAACATCTATATATTAGATATAAATAGCCTCAATCGGGATAAGAGAGATTGGGTTAATATGGTGACATGGAAACGCCTCAACACGGAAACGACTCAACACGGAAATGCCTCAAAAAAACAGAATCATAAAACTAATTTAATGTCGTCTTCTAATAAAATAACAGATAGGACACTTGATGTCGTCTTTTCAAGAGAAGACGACATTAAATTAGTTTTATGATTCTGTTTTTTTGAGGCATTTCCGTGTTGAGTCGTTTCCGTGTTGATGCGTTTCCATGTCACCGTTAATATTTACTTGCATTGAAATGCACGTTGTGTAGAGACTAGGGACTGTACAATGAGAATAAAATTAGGGTTTGTTTACATTTTATTGTGACGTATTAGGACAATGCCGGAGCTGTAATTTTATTGTAGACAATAACAAAGACCAAAGACGGGTTTCAGACAGAATGGCCGGGTCTGAGCAATAACGCGAGCTGTAACTAAATGTGTTTACAAAAACTTCTTTAGCATCCTTCTTACGTCAAATCAGAATATAAAGAAGCAATACTTCCCTCTCTCTAGTTATATTATTCNCATAAAATAATGTCGTGGATTTTCCAAATTTTTCTAAATTTGATGAAAATTGAATTTTGATGGAGGCAATTTTTGAAATTTTGAACATTATGGAAGATTATGGAAGAAAATGGGGAGGGTGGGGGGGTTGGTTTTGAACATTTGGCTTCTTTTAGAAAACCGTTTTTTAAATTTATAAAAATTTCGGTCATTAGTTTTCGCACTAATTGCGCGTTTTGTTAATTCCCTTAAAGAACCTTATTTGACCTTTTATCGAATTCTGACAATCATCTAAAATAAAATTAGAACTTATAACATTTATCAAATACTTCTTTATGATTAAATCCAATTTAGAAAAATTATCAACACCTGACTTCCAAATTTTGCAAAAATAAGTTTTTATTTTTAATTTTACTTAATTATTGTCAAATTCTATTATGGCTTTTATCTAAATTTTGCACAGTTTTTAAGTATTGGTTAACAGACTTGGATTAACAGAGTCTTTGAAACTTGCAAACATTGAAGTCTTTTTTATCAATTTTCTATACGATGAACTCAAAACATTGAGAAAAGTTATTGAAAATATTCAATAAAATCTGTTATGTAAAAAGTTTACAATCCATGTTATTGTTTGTAAATAAAAATGACCACGCACAGATTCTGTTTTCGCTTATAAAATAAATATATTTTCCATAGATTAATTAAAATAACAGATAGGACACTTGATGTCGTCTTTTCAAGATTCATGTGCTTATCGTTCCCAATAACCCTGAGGCAGAAGCCCGAAAGAGTTAAGCGTTGTCAGCGTAGAACAGGCCTTCTCTCTGTCTTGTAATTCTACAGAGAGAGAGTGTGTTCTACGCCGACTAGATAGTGTCCTATCTGTTATTTTGATTAATCTATGGTATTTTCCTTAAACACGCACAGTTACATTAACTGTTAAATTCCGTTGCATTGAAAACAATGCAAGGATCAGGAGTATTTTTTAAATTTCAAGAATTTATATTTTATGCCAGACATGTTTTTTAACACGTGCAAAAAGCTTGATTTTGTCAAACAAACACTCCCGTGAATAGGTGCAACTAGAACATGAGAAGATGGGGTTGGATAATTGAATAATGCCAACAAAGGAATTGAGTTTTTGCCACAAACTCAAATCTTCTGATCCCAATATCTTCGCAATCTGATGGTGCAAACCTTTGATATTTCAAACTTATATTATTTTATCTTTAAGTATTAATAGTTTGAAATATCTAAGGTTTGTGGCAAAGACTCAATTCCTTTCTAATTTTTTTTTTAGCTATTAAAATGTCTATTTGTATGTTTGACTTAAATCTATTAGAATAAAAAACACTGAGATGAGAATCTCGTCTAAATTTTATATTTTTGTTCAGAAGATTAAATAATTGATAATGTTTTGCATTCGCTATATTTTTGCTAAGCCATCGCTACACTTTAGTTCGGNGGGATTAAAGTCACATAGGTCCGGGCTGCTTTGAAGTTGTATTTTTCTTCAAGGCAGGGTCCAATTTGGAGCATCGCAACGCCTTGCGCTTTGATTTTACCTCATGCACTAAATCACTGACACTTTTTTGCAGCCCTAACCATAAACATTTTAGAAATATACTGCACTTGATTATTAATATATCAGGATTTCTAAATTCAGGTTTCAAAATAATCTACGAGAACTATCACAGTGATGGCTAACGGGGAAATAGCCCCCCCCCCACCTCCCACCTTGTAAACCTTAGGAGACGTACCCCTCCCTGGATAATTGTTTGGGGGAGTCCTCCCTTTATCCATGAAAAAATGGGAGGCATCCAGAGTATTTGATTTAAAGAATTTATTAATAAATAAAACTTTCCTCCGGCGATACCTAACTGTAGTTCTTCAAGAGAGAATTCGAAATAGAGGCAACAATTTTCCCATCATCTACCCTACAGCCTTCTCTGGAGTTTGACATCAAAATAATGAAAATACCTTCATAAAACTGAAAGGGGAGGGGGGGATACAATTTGTTTGATATAATTTCATACGCTTTAACTAAGAAAAACGAATCGTTCTTTAAACCTCTAAAAATGTCAATGTTTAAAAAAAGTGTAAATAAAACTATGCCTGGCACTACAGGGTTTAATTGTAATTTAACTAGGTAGAATTATAAAATAGTTAAGTCCTAATATATCCTGTTAACATATTGTTATATAAGCGTAAGCGGATTATCCTATATTTAGACAAAAGCAGAGATTAGTAGAAGAATGCAACACACTTTTTTATTGTATTTAAATATTATTTTGTCTATGACAATAATAGAAAGGAATTGAGTTGTTGCCACAAAATCTAATTTACTAATCCCTATATCTTTGAAACCTGATAGTAAACCTTAGATTATTTGATCAACACAATTCAAATGATTCTGAAATATTCATTTTCAAGTTTCAAGCTTGCTTTTTTGCCATTGTCTAAGTTTGCTGATTGTTTGAAATTGTTGACATTTAAAATGATCTTTTCAATAAATTTGAAAATCTTATAATTTTTACCTTGACCAACTGATATATTAGGTTTTTTGAAAATAAAAAAAAACATTGATTGATTTTTTTCTTTTTCTTTACATTTTGAATCTATGCTATTTTTTTATTTCTCTTTCATATATATTCTAAAAATTCTGAGTTGATATACTTCCATTTTTATTGTTATATAAGAATATGAATTCATGACCAAGTGAAATATTATGTAAGAGAAAACTTTTTCTGATCTTGCGCTTTTGTTAAAGTTTCCAATTATCATATTTATTCATTCATTCATGATTTGCTGGATATTGAGGTTATTGTAGTATTTATATAAAACAAAAATAGATTATCTTTTTTGGGATAATCCAGGTTTTTAGTTTTTTACCCTGGCAAACATTATAATTACTGATTTATTTATATTTTGCAAACAATGCTAAATTTTATGCATTAATTTACCGAAAAACAACTTGTTTTGCTTTTGAACTGTAATTTGAAAAAAAAAGTTCATTTGACAAATAAGTAGATTATTTAAGAACAGTTTTAGACTAAAAGAAATAGCACGGTTGATTAATGATCAAATGTATCATTAACAGGGTAAAAAACTTTGAAAGGGACTGTACACGTAATTTTCAAGTGATCCTCTGTTTACAAAGTGGTAAGTCTGATTCACAATGTACTCTTAGAAGCTTTGTGTGATAAAGAATGAATGAGATGTTTTTTCCNCTTCCCCTCTCATTCCACATCATCACATGCCATCCTACCACATTCCTCACACCCGCTCCTGTATATATTGATCTACCATCTCCTTTTCCTTTCCAGGCTTCCCCTCTCATTCCACATCATCACATGCCATCCTACCACATTCCTCACACCCGCTCCTGTATATATTGATCTACCATCTCCTTTTCCTTTCCAGGCTTCCCCTCTCATTCCACATCATCACATGCCATCCTACCACATTCCTCACGCCCGCTCCTGTATATATTGATCTACCATCTTCTTTTCCCTTCCCACCTCTCCCTCCCTTTCCACATCATCATCCACCACCATACCATATTCCTCACACCCGCTCCTGTATATGTTGATCTACCATCTTCTTTTCCTTTACCGCCTTCCCCTCTCATTTCACATAATCACCCACCACCCTTCCTTCTTCCTCCTGTACTATTCATTCTACCCTTCTCCCTTCCGTCCTTCCTTATCAACCCACCTTCTTCCCCCTACCAACCCATCTTGAGAAATATGAGAATTACGGTACAGAGCAAATAGGGTGTCTCAAAAGAAATGTCGGTTTCAGATTACAAAGTAAATTTCAAAATTTACAATCTTCGGTTAATTTTTATTAATTTGAGGGAATCTCAACAAAAACTAAAAATTCTAATTTATTTCCCAACTAAAAGTCTCAAAAATTCCCATTTTGTTTTATGATATTTGATATATTTATTTATTTTATTAATCTGTAATCACAAAATGTTCAATGTTCATTGTTTTAAATGTAGAAATTCTTCTTTCAAAAACTTCTGTGTTTAGATTTCTGATATTTCTGATATTGTTTAGACCTATGTCTGATCTTTCTGGTATTGTTTAGATCTATGTCAGATGTATCTGATATTGTTTAGATCTATGTCTGATATTTCTGATATTGTTTAGATCTATGTCTGATATTTCTGATATTGTTTAGATCTATGTCTGATGACCAGAGTTCAGGCTGTTGTCCGTCTCTGTTTGAACGAGCTTCTTACACCTGGTGGAGTCCAAGGTTAATTTCATTATTTTCTTTAATTAGGATTAAGAGAAAATAAAAGTGAGTTTTTATTTAAAAATGCATTTACTTAACATTTCAATGCTAAAATAGACCTGTACGGCAAAAACATTGCATGGGGAGGGGGCCTACCATCTGCATCTTTTTAAGGTTGTTAACAAAACTAAATGGAAAGGTTGCAAGTTCTCAAAAAAAAATCTATACATTTTTAAAAATTACTTCTGAAAACTAAGCTTAGTGCTTTTATAGTGCATACATGCTTTGGCGCGCAGTCATAGCAGACTGGATATATGTGGACAAGCAGGTTTTTAATCTTAGTAATTTCAAGGTTATTCTACCAAACAATTTTTTTCAGAAAAAAATTTATCATTTATGTGAAATATTCTCTCATGGCCAGGTTGCATTAATTTTTTTTACTTTCTTTATTTTCAGTGTTTTAAACTCAAAGAACAAAACTCAATTATATTTTAATATTCTTTCTTACATCTCTTTATATTTAAAAAAATTTCTCAAACATTCCTGTCAATTTATTTTCTTGTTTTTGTTCTTGTCTGCTTTTCTCCTGCTTTCGTTCTTGTCTGTTTTTCTCTTGTTTTTGTTCTTGTCAGTTTTTCTCCTGTTTTAGTTCTTGTCTGTTTTTCTCCTGTTTTTGTTCTTGTCTGTTTTTCTCCTGTTTTCGATCTTGTCTGTTTTCTCCTGTTTTCGTTCTTGTCTTTTTTCTCCTGTTTTCGTTCTTGTCTGTTTTTCTCCTGTTTTCGTTCTTGTGTGTTTTCTCCTGTTTTCGATCTTGTCTGTTTTCTCCTGTTTTCGTTCTTGTCTGTTTTTATCCTGTTTTCGTTCTTGTCTGTTTTCTCCTGTTTCCGTTCTTGTCTATTTTTCTCCTGTTTTCGTTCTTGTCTGCTTTTATCCTGTTTTCGTTCTTGTCTGTTTTCTCCTGTTTTCGTTCTTGTCTGTTTTTCTCTTGTTTTCCTTCTTATCTGTTTTCTCCTGTTTTCGTTAATTTTGTCATTTTTTCTTGGAATTTCTTTTCTGAATGTTTTTAATTAGATCCGAGTTGTTTAAAACTTTTAATCAAAGATATTCTTCTAAATTAAATATTTAAGAAGAAATCTCAGAAAAACCTGATATTTAATTGAACCCTTCTTTACTTTTTTCCTTTCTTTGCTTACCATTAGCTTCCTTTATTCCCAAGGATTTGGGCCATTTATTCCCCCATCTTCTTGTATTTATAGAGGGATAAATAGTTAGAGAGGTGGGGGATTAATGGTATAAAATCTTTCCCAGCCTCTTTTCCCAACCTAGAGTTGATATTGCAAATTCAAGTTCAACATAACCTTGATTCTTATACAAACTTTTCCAGCCAAACCCAACCAACTTTTCTATCCAAACCCAACCAACTTTTCTATCCAAACCCAACCAACTTTTCTATCCAAACCTAACCAACTTTTCCAGCCAAACCCAACCAACTTTTCTATCCAAACCCAACCAACTTTTCCAACCAAACCCAACCAACTTTACCAACCAAACCCAACCAACTTTTCCAACCAAACTCAATCAACTTTTCTATCCAAACCCAACCAACCTTTTACAAACAAACCAAACCAACTTTTACAAACAAACCAAACCCACTTTTCCAACCAAACCAAACCAACTTTTACAACCAAACCAAACCAACTTTTCCAACCAAACCAAACCAACCTTTTACAAACAAACCAAACCAGCTTTTACAAACAAACCAAACCCACTTTTCCAACCAAACCAAACCAACTTTTCCAACCAAACCAAACTAAATTTTACAATAAACCAAACCAACTTTCCAACCAAACCAAACCCACTTTTCCAACCAAACCAAACCAACTTTTACAATAAACCAAACCAACTTTTCCAACCAAACCAAACTAACTTTTACAATAAACCAAACCAACTTTTAAAAACAAACCAAACCCACTTTTCCAACCAAACCAAACCAACTTTTCCAACCAAACCAAACCAACCTTTTACAAACAAACCAAACCAACCTTTTACATACCAGAACCAACCAACTTCTCTCGCCAACCCCAACTAATTTGACCAGCCAAACCAAACCATTTCCAGGAAAACCCAACTTGCTCATGCCAAACCCAATCAGCATTAGCTATTCATTTATGTTTAAAAACATTTTATAAAAACAATAGAATAAAAATAGTTTTTTCCTTTTTTACTTTTTCCTCTGATTATATATAAATGATTGCGTTTAAATTTTTTTTATGTTTCAAAGCATTTTCTAAAAATTATTAAGAATTTAAACAGCTAAAAACTCAGGTTTTACTGTTTCTCTTGTTTTTTATAGATAGTGAAGGGTTTCTAAAAATAGTTTATCCACTTATTTTTAAAAGCTTTTTCTCAAATTATGAAAATAAAAATAAATTAAATTTACTTTTTTACTTTTTGTAGATGCTAAAGATTAAAAAAATAGTTGATCTATTTAGGTTTAAAAACATTTTCTAAAAAAAGATAATAAAAATAATTTATATCTACTTTTTACTTTTCCTTTTTGTTATTTAAAAAATGTTAAAGGTGAAGAAAAACATAATTTCTATTTACGTTTTCAAACACATTTTCTAAAAATAATAGGATAATAGGATAACAAATAGATAAAAACCTTTTTTTACCCTTTGATATTTATAGATGCTAAAGGTTTTCTGGTAACATTATTTCCATTTTCTAAAAATAATAAAATATTTAGAATTCTCTGATAAACAAAGTTAACAGAGAATCCGATAAAAAGAAAAGTTTAAAACTTTAATCTGAAAACAAGAACATCCAATTTATTATATTTAAATCTTGAAATTAAATCAATACAATTTTGTTCCTTGATTTAGTTTAACGATTTACAAATCAGGGCCAAAAACTTTAGAATGGTGGATATCGGGATTAATGCTTGATCCTCTCTTTTTCTTAATACCGAGACTAACCTAAACTTGTACTTGTATTCTAAAAAGTGTATAAAATTCAACTAATCAGAGTCGTGTATATACAGAAACAAAAGGAACTCTCCAATTTTAAAAACCGGGTTTTGATTTTTCTCTACTATATCCAAGAAAGAACGGTTTAAAAAGAAAATCAAAAGTGTGCCAAAAAGTTTTCAGCTCAGAGCTGAAAACTTTAGAATGGTGGATATTGGGATTAATGCTTAATCCACTCTTTTTCTTAATCTCGAGATTAAATATTGCTTTTCTCCTCTCATTTTTAATCTCCAGATTAATTATCCGATCAGGATTAAGGATATCCCATTCTAAAGTTTTCAGCTCAGGGCAAACAGTTTGGTTTAGACAAAATATTCAATTTTATCAAAATATTTAAGCTTGATCTGACGTTATGACAAGTTGGTGAAACAATATTTATGATTTGAAAATTTGAAAGAAAGTATTATGTTGAACTTTTCTTTTCTGGTTAAAAATAGAAAAATGTTATAAACAGAATGAAAAGAGAAAATACAAATAAACTCATTGAATCTACTCAGTATTTTGGGGCTCGAACCTTAATATACTTTTTAAAAGGGATATTTGTCTGTATCTTATAACTAAGGATTAATTGAAATCTAAAGTTCAAGAAAAATCAAGAAAATTAAAATGCTGTTTTGACAACCCTGGCATACTAATTGTTTTTTGTAATCCCGATAAAACTTATATTTAAAGTATAACTGCAGTCAAGGAAAATAAAACTGAAGAAAAGTCAGAGAGACACCAAGATTTTTTATTTTAGGTTTGATTCTGATATTCTGGAAGGACAGTTTTGGAGATCTACATTCCCCAGAACTACAAGAAGGTTCGTAGTACTAAATAAATATAATCAAACTAGGCTTTTCAAGCCGCCATTTTTCTTCGTTCTTGTAAAACTTGAAATTTTGCGAATTTTTTGTTAACCTTCCTTTGTAAGTTACCCAAAAAGTTTGGTCCCGATCCATTTGATCGTTTTATTTAACGTTTATTGGATACAAACATGTCATCAGACAACCTATAAATATATATATTAAATTTGTTTTTAATTTTACATTTTTCAAAAGCCAGCTTCACCCAGAAAATTCGGAAATGCAAAAATATTTACAAAAGCGTAATTAGAAAAAAAGAAAAGGCGTCTGTGAAACAAAAAGCCTGTTTGCTTTCATGGCATAAAATTTTAAAACGCTGAAAGTATTTAAGTGAAAGGTAAATGTTTGTAAATTGACATGAAGCACAAATTATTTTCAGCTTTAAATTTGATTTTTTAAGATGAAAAATATTAATGTTAAATGAAATTTAAATGTTTGTACATTTTCCGATTGAATTCAGGAAACTTAAAAAAATCTTAAAATCCTGAAAATATGCAAAAAGTTTATTTTTGAATATTAGAGGAAATTACAAGATTTGATGTAGAAAAAAGTGTTTTAAGGTCGTCGTCTAGGATAATTTGATATTTTCTAGCTTAAAAAGATATTTTTTATTTGAAAATATAAAAGAATTTGTTTAGATGAATATCATATTCTTGAGTTAAATTTGATTTTTTTTAAGATGGAAAATATTAATGCAAACAAATATATGTTTATATATATATACGTTCGATCTATTTTCTATTTATTCATTTTTTATACTTCTTGATATTGTTAAGCTTAGCCTCATGTACCGCTTGCACATTGGTTACTTGCCACAAAATTGTTTTATATGTGGGATAATCCTCCTCGAGTATATCAAGCTTTTAAATAGCATGAGCATGAACTTTAGAATGGTGGATATCGAGATTAATGCTTAATCTCCTCTTTTTATTAATCTCCAGATTAAATATGGCTTATTCTGCTCTTGTTATTAATCTCCAGATTAATTAACAGATCGAAATTAAAGATATCCCATTTTCAGCTATGGATATACAAGAACATGGAAACAAAGAAAAGCTGTCAAGCAAAAACACTTCTCTTTAATTTCTTGTAAACTTGTAGTTCAATTAAAACTTAAACAAAAAGTTTGTCTTCATTATATTGCTATAATCTCCACCACCGTAGTATACTAATTTTTCCGCGGCATTCGATCTTAAATAGGTTAAGAATACGACATTATAAAAATCTTGCTATGTATCCAAATATCTGGGATTCGCTGTTTCCTGAATATGTAATAACATGTAATTTATTTATATAATTATATTTTTGTTTGTGTCTATCCTATATTAGCGCAACATAGCTTTGTTTGTGATATCTCACATGGTTCGAGGGGGTTGGTTTATTCAAACATTTGTGAGTTGTAACGAGTAACGACCAATATAAATTTTGGGAAATGAAGCAAAAATTTCGCAAAATCTTAAGTTTGGGTTTAAAAATGGCGGCTCGGAAACAACATTTTGAAAGATGTAATTGTCGCTAGAAGAAGCTAGAGGTGTGAAGCATTATATATTCCAGTTCTTTTAATGATCTATACATTTGGCTTTTCTAGTTGTTGGCTTGTTATATATTCAATAAAAGTTTAAACTTCTGAACTGTTTAGAAGCTAAAGCGTACAGAGCTGAAAACTTTAGAATTGGATACCTTTAATCCCGCTTAATCTGAATATCCAATGAGGACACTTTTAATTTCCTCCTTAATCCGCTCTTTTTATCTCTTTTTGAATATCTGTACTTTGTTGGACCAATGAGAGTCCACAATTAAATTTCAAATTTATGATTGGATGTTCCGGTTTCTCCAAACGCCACTCGATTGGTAGAGTTATATATCCTTTTGTGGATACAAACTTAATATTATATTAAACTTAAAATTAACAAAAAAGTTTCAATTCTAAAGTTTTCAGCTCTGTACTGTACTGCACTGTAATAAGCACACAGTACAGTGCACTTTGGGCATTAAACCCTTTACAATAAATTTATTACAGATTCCAGTTTGGTTTGGCATATCTTCTACTTCTCTGCCTAACATGGGCCATTTATTTTCCTGTTGTTGCTACCCCTCACTGGTATGTACTCAATTTATGTACAGCTCATGTACAGTTTATGTACAGTTTAATTTCAGTTTATAAGCAGTTTTTATACAGTATATACAGTTTATATATAATATATGCAGTTTATATTCAGTATATACAGTTTATATACAGTATATACAGTTTATATACAGTATATACAGTTTAAATTCAGTATATACAGTTTAATTGCAGTCTATAGCAGTTTTTATACAGTATATACACTACAGTTTATATACAGTTTATACAGTTTGTACACAGTTTACGTACAGTTATTGCACAGTTTATGTACAGTCTGTAGAAGGTTTATATACAGTTTACGTGCAGTTTATGTACAGTTTATGTGAATTTTATGTACAGTTTATATACAGTCTATTGAAGGTTTAAATACAGTTGATATAAAGTTTATATTTGTTTAATAATGCAATATATTATAATCAAATAGTACACAGATAGGACAAGAGTAAAGCTGCCTCATGTCAAATTGAAGTAAAGATTTCTCTCTGATTTTGATATGCAGGCCTGAATTGTGATCTAGTTTTAGAATAAAAAATCAAGATTGAAAAAAACCAATTTTTCTTCTTTTCAATTCTTTCAGTTTTTTTATGCATTTTTGACGTGAGAATTTTCTTTAGTACATTCGGTAAAAAAGTAGAAAACTCTGGAATATGAAAACGAATATAAAACTCAATTTATTACTCTAAAAAGTGCAATGAACAATGAACATGATGCACAGCAATTGTTCAGTGTAAACAGAACCATTTCACTTAATAAGTGATTCAATAACTTTCTGGTAAAGCTATTTGCTTTGAAACAACATCAAATGCACTTAAATATTTCTTTAATGTCGTCTTCATTTTTCATAGTTTTCTGGTTCTCCCTGTATTAAGATGGTTCATGCTTCACTTCAGCGATTCAAATCTTTTAATAGAGATCGCAACTCTTGTGTGGATTATCATTATTGTTTAAAGAGAGAGACCGGCTAGACATGTTAGTTAAGCTGAAAGTGCAGAACTGTAGACAAGAACTTTAGGATTAATTTGACACCAATAAGATATTTTCACAGTGTAAAATTTCAAATAAGAGCGTTAAGCCAGTTTGCAATATTTTACCTGTTGTTTCAGTCAGCAGAAGAAAGATTTTTCTACAATTTTTAAATAACATGAACAAAACAAGAAACAAATACTATTCTTCAAACTAGTTTTATGTATACAAACATGTTGAGATAAATAATGAACTTACATTATTGAAAAAAGTTACTAAAATTAATTTTAAATCTTGCAGATTTATGAATTTTTTTGNAATATGTTCCTAAATAGGAAATTAGTCTATAAGATAATCTTTACATGTTTAGATGTATATATCAATATCTAATAGTAATATGATAACTTCAATGTTGGATCTCGAGATTCACAACATACAAGTTCTGATTTCAGGTTGAGAAAGTTAAAAAAAAATATGTTTAAAGTCCTTTTAAGTATTGTCAATATTAATAGAACACCTTGTATATTGTATTGTGTATTCTGCATATATAATGAATAGTTTCCATTTCTCTTCTTAAACTAGTTAAAAGCAGAATAATTAGCAGCCTGTTTATCTTTAATCTATCTTATACTTTCTTCCAAAGTGAATAGATGTAAGGTGGGGAAAAAGGGTTGGTTTGTACATTTTTGAATCTAGGTATATGTTCCTTATATCTAGGTATATGTTCATTACATCAAGGTGTATGTTCTTTATATCTAGGTGTATGTTCCTTATATCTAGGAATGTGTTCCTTATGTCTAGGTATATGTTCCTTATATCTAGGTATATGTTCCTTATATCTAGGTATATGTTCCTCATATATAGGTATACGTTCTTATATCTAGGTATATGCTCCTTATATTTAGGTATGTGTTCCTTATTTCTAGGTATATGTTCCTTTTATACAGGTATGCTAAAGGTTTACATAATATGAGGGTTGTTACTATATTTATTGCAGGTATATGTTTCTTGTATCTTCTCTATCTGCTGGAACGATTGTGTTCCTAATGTTCCTGGTGACTGTAACGCCTCTCTACACAAAACACTGTTTTAAAGGAACAAAAAAACAAAAATAAATTGTTCTGTTGAATTTTTAAATTTATTTTGGTAAGATGAATATGTTTCATTAAATAATAAAGATAATTTCTTATTTTTGATTTGATTTGTTAGTGTCGTTTCTTCTCTGTGTTCTTCTATGTTCCCTTTCCCTTCTAGGAACACACACAAATTATCAATATTCAGTGGAACCCATAAATCTGTGGAATAGGAAGACGACAGTATTTAATAGTCCATTGAACATGAACCAGAGCCATGGTGCAGTGTACACAGACCCATTTTCCAACACATTGAATTTAAAATTACGAGTATAACTATTTGCTACACAACAATATCACACACACTTAAGATTATTAAAATATTGTCGAACTTTTCAACAGTTTTTTGGGTCTCACCGTAGGAACAGAGTGGTGACAGAGAGGGGTTAAAAATAAAGTATTCTAAACTATACAGTAAATACCAGAAAACTGTAGAATAGGAAGACGTCATTAAAGCTATTCTGAAGTCAATTTGATGTTGTTACAAAGCAAATAGTTTTACGAGTAAATTATCAAGTCATGTAATTAGTGAAACGGGCCTGTTTACACGGCAAAATTGCCGCGCCTTAAGTTCATTGGACTATTTAAAGCCATTACTTGAGTCTAAAAGTCGACTTCCTATTCCAGAGTTTTCTGGTTATCACAGTAGAAAACTAAAAAAAGACGATCCTGTTATTTGTTATTTTTAAAACAAAAGCTTTGGATTTATTTCTCAAAATAACTAATCGAGTCAAAAATTAAAAAGATGAATCCAAAATTCTATTTGTACTTTTTTATACAGGGTGTCCCAATATACATGGGAATTCAGTAACAAATTCGATATTGTCTTTTTAAATAATTCTTTGATTTAGTAAAGTGATACCTACTGAGAAAGCTGTAATCTGTAAGAGTTTCGTCTGCTACAATTTGATTGTTTATGTTTTGACTGCATACGGTTGTACTTAGTAAAACAAAAAAATTACAGTATACAAACAGAGTAAACTTTTCCGTCTTCAGTGTTCATCTTGCGGAGACATTATTGACATATCTTTACAGCCATTTACCGTTTTCATAAATAAACTCTAGCAGACATAATAATATTATGGCTTTTGAAATAAGGTATTACAATGCTAATTCATGACGAAGACGATATCGAATTCGTCACTGAATTCCCATGTTTATTGGGACACCCTGTAGATAGCTGTGGGATTCCATTTAGTTAAATAAACGAGACATATAGTCAAAACAAATTTTGAAATGGACAAAAGCATTTAAATTATGAGAGGATGAAAAAACAATTGGTCTAAAGCAGAGACGGTTTCAATCCAAATTTATATATTAAAAATAGTAATAAAATTTTAAATTGGTCAGAAGAGGCATTAAATGATTAAATCTGTGTCCATGTTGTTTTAATCTAATTTGTGTACCTGGCTCAGTGTACCTGAACCTACCAATAGCTGAGGTCAGGAATGGGCAAACCGAGGAGTTCTCCAGCAATTTTAGTTTACATAATCAGGTAATTATAAACTTTTTAGTGTAGATAGCTTTTCTAGAATTTGGCGGATTTCGGTAGTTTTGATTTAAAAAACGGTGGGAGAAACTTGAGAATGAAAGCAACCGTCATCTAAGCACTCAAGGAACAGATTTAAGATTCAAAAGTTTCCCCCGCCCCCCGGATAATTCTAATGTTACATTTACTATATAACTTAATTTTCCAGATTAAAAACATTTTAATGGACTGTAAGCGGAAATTAAAATGATCCTTCATGCAAAGATGGCAATGGGCGATTAACACTGATACCTTTTGTCTGGTCATCGAGTAGATATATCTCTGTATGTACATCTATTGAAAACCGCTTGAATTCCTGTAAAACCCTGTGTACTCTGCGTACAGTGCGAACTTTACACACCTGATCCGTTTCTTGTGTTTCTTAAAATCCCTAGTGACTGAATATTTTTCATTAAAAGCGGTTTTTAAAATATCTGTCAAGTCTAGAAAGTAAGTATTGATATGTTTTAGAAATAAAACAGGTTGCAAACAAATTCTTCACTCTTTTAACATTAAAAGCGTATCTGTAAATTTAATGAGGATACGTCCGACAACATTGATCAGTCAACAGTTTAAAGGGTACTGTCGTGAATCGAACACACTACTCTACAAATGGAGGGTCGCTTGAAATTACGCCTACAGAGGAATTCAAAATTAAATCCTATGTGACAGTCTCTCAATTTTTGTTTTCTTTAAAACATATTTTTGTTTAGAAATCCTTGTATGGGTTTGAAGATCTCACTAAAGAAGAATACATTCAGCTTATTTCATCAAATACATTAGGAATATATCATTTAGACTTTTTAACAAAACTTTCAACATTTCTTATTCTGATTCCTTTCTTCTACGGTAGTTCTTCATCCTACCTCCTACCTCCTACCTCCTACCTCCTACCTCCTACCTCCTACCTCCTACCTCTTACCTCCTACCTTCCTAAATGTGTATACTGAACTAGGAACCACGGATATCAGTGAAGCAGGACTTTTTGCACTGTATGTTGAGGTAACTCTTTGGTGCATTGAGTTTTTATTGCGTTTTTTTTGGTGTGCATTGATTTTTTTGTCTGCTGAGTTATTTTTGTGTGTGTTTATGTGCTTTTGTAAATGTATAATGAATGATATTTTTAAAATATCTTTTACAGGCATTTTTTGTTAACGTTTTTTCGAATAATAAGGGAATTTTCAGCTTAACCCCAGTTTTACAAAAATTAAAATATCTGAAACTAGATCCAGTTTATCAGCTTTATATTCTTACTATGTTGGGAACCCAAATATCTGAAACTAGATCCAGTTTATCAGCTTTATATTCTTACTATGTTGGGAACCCAGTTTAAAAGTAAACTTCAACCTAGAACTTTTTTTTATATGATGTAGGCAAAAAATTTAAAAAATATATATTAAAAGGCGTTCTGCGCAAAAAAAAACATAATTTCTGTGGAAAAAAATATTTTTGGTGGTTGAAACAGAAAAGAAAAATTGGACATTAAAAGGCAAATTTCAATTGTTTTTCATACTTTTTTTTTTTTTACCCAAAAATGCACCAATTAAAACCTTTAAAATTATTTTGATATTCTACGCAATCAAACCTAACTTCTGAAGGAAAAAATTATTTTTTTTAATTTCTGGGGTGGGGGGAATATTTTTCAAGAAAGGAGCTTAGTTTTTCACACCATCTTAAATTTTCTAATCCCTATTTTTTTTAAACCTGATGTTGTAAACCTTATTTCAAACTTAGAATTTTTCATGGTTCATTTATAGTTTATAGAATTTATAGTTTAAAATATCAAAGATCTAAGACATCGGGTTGCACAGATATAGGGATTTTAATTTTGGAGTTTTTGACAATATCTCATTTCCTTTACAAATCTGATATTTATCAACAAATATATATGTTTTAAATCAAGTAAAGTCTAGGTATGAAAGATATACGGTTCTTTAATATAGATAAAAAACGAATCAGTACTTTTGTTAAATACGGGTTTTTAGGGGGGGGGGCACACAATCTTCTAGGGGTGCATACAAAAACTTCGACGCGCTCAAAAGGTGACCTCCCCCCCCCCTAAACTAAAGCTCTCGTACGCCCTTGAGTTTGACATATCTAAGGTATACACGACATTGGGTTGCAAAGATATAGAGTTTAGAAAATCAGAGTTTGTGGCAAAGACTCAATTCCTTTACTAATTTTGATTCACAACCAAACTATCCATTCAAATTGATGATCCTGAGAACCAGAATACTGAAAGCTTTCTCTAAAATGTTTAATAAAATCGGCTTATACTTCTTAAAGATAAGGATGGTATATCAGACATTTTTAAGTCCGAACTTGCAAAGAACACATGCAGACAAAAAAACATTTTTTAGAGTTTAGAGTTTAGAGTTTAGAGCCACTCTTTGGTGTTACAAACATTTTGAAAAAGGTTAACAATCCCTTTGAAAGTGGTTCCAATTATTCAAGTCAGTTTGTTTTTATGAAAAAATGAAAATATTTTATATTTAGGTTCTTCTTCTCGTATACACTGTAATCCCTCTGCCTTTGTACCTGACCCTGCTAGTTGGGTTTTCTTATACCTGCTTATTCGAGATCGTAGCGGTCACACGGCTACCTGCCAGGTATAGACAGTTCAATAGAGTACCTGCCAGGTATATACAGTTCAATAGAGTACCTGCCAGGTATAGACAGTTCAATAGAGTACTTGCCAGGTATATACAGTTCAATAGAGTACCTGCCAGGTATAGACAGTTCAATAGAGTACCTGTCAGGTATATACAGTTCAGTAGAGTACCTGCCAGGTATATACAGTTCAATAGAGTACCTGCCAGGTATAGACAGTTCAATAGAGTACCTGCCAGGTATAGACAGTACAATAGAGTACCTGCCAGGTATAGACAGTACAATAGAGTACCTGCCAGGTATTGACAGTACAATAGAGTACCTGCCAGGTATATAAAGTTCAATAGAGTACCTGCCAGGTATATACAGTTCAATAGAGTACCTGCCAGGTATAGACAGTTCAATAGAGTACCTGTAAGTTATAGACAGTACAATAGAGTACCTGCCAGGAGTACAATAGAGTACCTGCCAGGTATAGACAGTACAATAGAGTACCTGCCAGGTATATACAGTTCAATAGAGTACCTGCCTGGTATATACAGTTCAATAGTGTACCTGCCAGGTATAGACAGTTCAATAGAGTACCTGCCAGGTATAGACAGTGCAATAGAGTACCTGCCAGGTATAGACAGTTCAATAGAGTACCTGCCAGGTTTATCAGTTCAATAGAGTACCTGCCAGGTATAGACAGTTCAATAGAGTACCTTCCAGGTATAGACAGTTCAATAGAGTACCTGCCAGGTATAGACAGTTCAATAGAGTACCTGCCAGGTATAGACAGTTCAATAGAGTACCTGCCAGGTATAGACGGTACAATAGAGTACGTGCCAGGTATAGACAGTACAATTAAGTACCTGCCGGTTATATATATAGTACAATAAAGTACCTGCCAGGTATATACAGTACAACAGAGTACTAGCTTAGTATGTACAGCACTATTCATATCATAAAATATTAAGGCGTTTATTTATTTGTTTTCCAATAAAATTATATATTATCAATTATCCTAAAGATATCTACCAAATTTACTGAATAAAATATAGCGCTCATCAAGGGGAAAATTAATGGAACATATTCACCCCTGGGGGGTTTAAAGTATTATTAGGATAAGGAGTATGAGAAGGGTAATCAGTTTCTTCTCATTGCTTCAAAGTTTTGAAAATATTCTATTTTAGGAATTATATGACAATGATTGTTCAAGTTCTGTTGCATATTTGTGTACACGTGATAGGTTGTCATATACTCATCATGACGCAGGTAATCATCATCATCATCATCAATATTATTAAACCATTAATGAATGAGATTTTCTTACTTTAAGATGAAAATTGATCTTTCTAAACTTTGGTTTCTCTTCAATTATTACTTGCAAATTTTTGCAACAGAAACGACGACGGAAATTGAAAAATTGTACACTTTTTAATACAGAAAAACAAGGATGTTTTTCTTAGTGTTACTTAATTAAGGCCTTTAAGGGTGTCGTTGTGAATCTGACTTACAATTACGTCTACACTTCTAACCTAAACTAATCCCCTAATTAATTTATTACAAATATAAATGTTAACTAATGAGAGAATATAAAAACTGTCTATATATATTCCTTAACTGGTCCAGCAAGTTTCAACAAAAAATATCATGAGTGAAGAAAAAGAAAATTTTATTTGTTAAAAAATCAGTAAATCTAGCTCTGGACAAAGATTTTTTAATTAAATGTTAATTTAAAAGACAACACACAAGGTTTCTAGAAATTTATGAGCACAATGCTTTTTTGATAATAGTTATTTTATCCGCTGATTCCCAGAATTTTTTCTTTCAAATTGAACAAAGGATATTACTGGAAAACAGACTCCAAATCTTGGCTCTCTTTCTTTTCTAAAATTTTGATTCAATATTTCTACTTAGCCCGTCAATATTAAACAAAAGAAGAAAAGGAATAAAAGCTTTTTCATCTTAATTCTTTAAGATTGTTTTCATTTTTTATTCATAATTTCTTTCTTCTTCTTTAAATTTTCTTTTATTTTAATTAAAGGTCAACGCTTTTCGGTTGTTAATCCCCATTCTGTGATCCTGATCCTGAGATCCTGATCCTGATCCTGAGATCCTGATCCTGAGATCCTGATCCTGAGATCCTAAGATCCTTATCCTAAGATCCTGATCCTGAGATTCTGATCCTGAGATCCTGATTTTGATCTTAATCCCTGAATTGTCTAGGTCCGGATGAGGGACACGTTTATGAAGGTTGGGCAGAGTTTGCTTGTGAAAAGACAGCTAGGAATGGAGAAACAACTGAAGGAGAAAATGATTCACAGCGTTATGCCTCCCAAGGTATGTGATTCTGGTATTACGCACTATTACGCACTAATTTTGATAAAAAAAACTTTAATGGAACTGAGATGGAATTTAAAGAATTGGAGTTGCGGTTTAAATCCGCCAAAACCCGGTTCAAATTAAGCGCCGGTTTAAATCTTGAAACATTTGATACAATTTTAAGTGGAACCAACCATATTTAGACCGCGGCTTAAATTTAAACCGCCGCTTAAATTCTTTAAATTCGGCCACTGAACACTTTAATCAAATTCTTGTTTTTTAACCCCCTGTTACTGTAAACTGTAATCCTTTGATTTTTCTTACGTTGACAATTTTATCGAGCAGAAAAGTTTAAACTTACAAAAAAAACAGGATTAGATGATGGTTGTGGTTTGGTTCAAGGATGGTTTGGTTAATGAATGGTTTGGTTAATGAATGGTTTGGTTAATGAATGGTTTGGGTAATGAATGGTTTGGTTAATGAATGGTTTGGTTAATGAATGGTTTGGTTATTGGATGGTTTTTTTAATGATTGAATTGGTTAAAGGATGGTTTGTTTAATGAATGGATTGGATAATGAATGGTTTGTTTAATGAATGGATTAGATAATGAATAGTTTGTTTAATGAATGGATTGGATAATGAATGGTTCGTTTAATGAATGGATTGGATAATGAATGGTTTGTTATAGGATGGATTGGATAATGAATGGTTTGTTTAATGAATGGATTGGATAAAGGATGGTTTGTTTAATGAATGGATTGGATAATGAATGGTTTGGTTACTGAATGGTTTGGTTAAAGGATGATTTGGTTAATGAATGCACTGGTTAAAGGATTGTTTGGTTAATGAATGGTTTGGTTAATGAATGGTTTGGTTAAAGGATGGTTTGGTTAATGAATGGTTTGGTTAATGAATGGTTTGGTTAATGAATGGTTTGGTTAATGAATGGTTTGGTTAAAGGATAGTTTGGTTAATGAATGGTTTGGTTAATGAATGGTTTGGTTAATAAATGGTTTGGTTAAAGGATGGTTTGGTTAATGAACGGGTTGGTTAATGAATGGTTGGTTAAAGAATGGTTTGGTTAATGAATGGTCTGGTTAATAAATGGTTTAGTTAAGGTTGCGGATTAGTTAAGGAATGATTTGGTTAATGAATGGTTTGGTTAATAAATGGTTTGGTTAATAAATGGTTTAATTAAGGTTGCGGATTAGTTAATTAATGGTTTGGTTAAGGTTGCGGATTGGTTGATGAAGGGAGGGCATGGAGGAGATGAAGATGATGATATGGATATAGATTCGGAAACAGGTATTTAACTTTTTATTCCAAACACATAACAGTACTGGCAAGAAAAGTGATTTAAATATAAATTCCGTCGAATCCAATGGATGGATAACTAAAGTTGAAGGCTCAACAGCTTACCCCTCGAATTTAAAAGTTGCTAAAGTAGAAATCGATATCAAGCTTTGCAGATTAGCGCTTATCTTCTTATAAAAAAGTGTATATGTTGTAAAGTTGAAAGAACAATGATAGGTTTAACTGGCCAAAAGGAAGAAAAGAGAACAACACTAGACGGAGAGAGAAATAAAGTCATAAATTAGAAAAATTATTAGAGAACTAAAAATTAGAAAAATAATTCGAATATGATATTAGAAATCACTTTATTGTGACTTTATGGAAGAAACGTGAAAATGTAGAAGAGAGTTGATTGAATTGAGTAAAAAGAATATTTTAATATGAAATATAATCTTTATGAAGTGTTAAAGCAGGAAATAAAGAAGAATTAAATGCACAGCAATATTGTAAAAAGATAGAATTCATTAACAGAGGATGGATGTTATCGAAGAAATAAGACATTAGAGAAGGAAGGATATAGGGATATTATTACAGGGACATTACAGAAGGAAGGATATAGGGATATTATTAAAGGGACATAAGAGAGGGAAGGATATAGGGATATTATTACAGGGACATTACAGAAGGAAGGATATAGGGATATTATTAAAGGGACATAAGAGAGGGAAGGATATAGGGATATTATTAGAGGGACACAAGAGAGGGAAGGATATAGGGATATTATTAAAGGGACATAAGAGAAGGAAGGATATATGGATTTTATTAAAGGGACATAAGAGAAGGAAGGATATAGGGATATCATTAAAGGGGACATAAGAGAGGGAAGGATATAGGGATATCATTAAAGGGACATGAGAGAAGGAAGGATATAGGGATATTATTAAAGGGACATAAAAGAGGGAAGGATATAGGGATATCATTAAAGGGACATAAGAGAAGGAAGGATATAGGGATATCATTAAAGGGACATAAGAGAAGGAAGGATATATGGATATTATTAAAGGGACATAAGAGAAGGAAGGATATATGGATATTATTAAAGGGACATAAGAGAAGGAAGGATATAGGGATATCATTAAAGGGACATAAGAGAAGGAAGGATATAGGGATATCATTAAAGGGACATAAGACGTAATTTTAAGTGTTCCTCCCTTTATAGGGGGGCATGTCTGATTCACAACGGTAAGCAGTTATCTAAGGAACAAAAGGGAAAAAACGTTCGAATTCGGACAATTTCTTTCAGTGTCTCTCCTGCATAATTCTCTTATATAGGGAGACAAAATTTAAAAATCTATTTTTTCATTTAAAAAAACTTAGGATATCTCAATAATCCATAATAGACAATGGTTGTGAATCGAATATGCAACTCCTTTAATGGAGAGTATCTTGAAATTATGTTTTAGTGATTTTAATATTAAAAAGAACGAAATGAGCAAAAAAGGATAAATTTCCAAAATTTGAAAAAATAATATTTTAGGTTCAATGATGAGAAAAATCTCCAGTCCTAGATCATCAAACCAGGTTTTTATCCCTACTAGCTCAAGTGCCCGGCGGTACCTGTGGAATTTTAAAAATTTACAACAAATGTTTAGAGTCTATGTCATCCCCGGAATATCCATGGCCCATGGGTTCCCTAAAAATGTCAGTCAATTTGGTCCTGTCGTATAGACCTCTACAGCGAACATATTAAATATATATATACGAACAAAGCGCTTTATTATATAGATTGAATATTCTATTTTTCCTTATCTTTAAATTTTTTATGCAGACACGATATTCAACCTTTAGATTTCAGCTTGACTCCCTCCCCTTCTATCACTATATCTATATCTAATAGTGAATATTGAATAATGTTTGGTCCAGTCTATGACTATATTATCCAATATGTTGAACTATTTTAGGGAGATTTACGGACGATGTTTCGTCCGTTTAATATGAATGCAATGGACAATGTTTCGATTCTGTTTGCAGATATTGTAGGTAGAAGATTTATCTATATCTAACTAGTAATCTCTGTTTCTTTTATGTCCGATCATAACTCGTAAACCCCTTGACCGATTTGCCTCAAACTTCGTGGAGCTCAGTAGAATTACGTCAATGTTCTGATAAGAATTCTAAGTTGAGTGAGTTGACTTGCAAGGCAAAGCTGGGTTGCCAAGCTTGGTTTCTATATGATAAAAACATTCAAATAAACAACTGTCTTGTATTTATGAGATATAATATCTTGTATTCCATTCGTATTCTTGAAACTAGTTTAAAGTTTAAATTCTAACAATTGAACTTTTACCGTATTCTCTTTAAAAAGTTTACAACTTGACTTAAAACTTTTTAATTCACTAGCTTAAGCTTTAGGCTCCAATTTTCAACAAAAACTCTGAACCCTGGAATCTCTTTCTCAGAAAAAAATTGTTAAAATCTTTGTTTATTACCTCAATTGCCTCGATATTTCATCGTAATGTTTTTAAATTTCTAAAACTGAATTTACTTTTCTTCATGTTTGTCCAAGGATTTACCAAAATGTTTATGTTTGTCCTAGGATTTACCAAAATGTTCATGTTTGTCCAAGGATTTGCCAAAATGTTCATGTTTGTCCAAGGATTTAAATGTTCATGTTTGTCCAAGGATTTGCCAAAATGTTCATGTTTGTCCAAGGATTTACCAAAATGTTTGTGTTTGTCCAAGGATTTACCAAAATGTTTATGTTTGTCCTAGGATTTACAAAATGTTTATGTTTGTCCAAGGATTTACCAAAATGTTTATGTTTGGCCTAGGATTTACCAAAATGTTAATGTTTGTTCTAGGATTTACCAAAATGTCGACCAACAAGACTGCTAGTCAATTGGTTGGATTACTCAATGATCTCTTTGGTAGATTTGATAGGTAGATACTTCTGAGCTTGTCTTATTTTTATGACCAAGACTCTGACCTTGACATTTTCCTTGACCTAGACCTTGACCTTGGCCTTGACCATGGGTTTGACCTGGAACTAGTTCATGATCTTGACCTTGACCTTGAGCTTGACCTGGACCAAGTTCATGATCTTGATCTTAACCTTAAAGTTGACAATAATTGACCTTGACCTTGACCCCGACTTTGATCTTTACCTTGATCTTAAAAATAACCTTGATCTTAACTTTAACCTTTACCTTGACCATGATCTTCACTGATACCTAGACCTTATTATTCATTAGCACTAATTGATTTACCCTTTATCTTGATATCGTCATTGATATTCATAATTATCTTGGCTTTTACCTTGACCTTAATATTGACCTCGACCTTGATATGACTTGGCGTTATCTATCTTGACCTTGAACTTGACCTTGACCTTGACCTTTGTCATGACCTTAGGCTGTCAGATCTTACCTTTGACCTGAACCTTGACCTTGATTTTGACCTTGAACTTGACTTTGACCTTGACCTTGACCTTGACCTTGACCTTGACCTTGACTTTGACCTTGACCTTGACCTTGACGTTTCACTTGTGTATAGATTATGTCTTTGCTGTTCATGTGAGAAGATTAGTACTCTTGGAGATTGTTACTACTGTGTGTCAGGTATACGTCGTCATATTAAAATTTATTGCGGGATTTATTAAAAAATCTAATTTAAAAAGTTAATTTTTAAAATAATAATCATAGAATACCACTAGCCCTGGCATTTTTTTGTCTTTTTGATTTCAAAATTACTGACGTTGTTGAATTTCGATTTCAATTTATCAATCTTAACAAATTGTCATTATAAAGTTTTCAATTATCTCTGTAGCTAAGAATTTTTAAATAAAAATTTACACTTTAGGAAAAATCTTCTTCAATGAATAATTTTATTTTAAACTTGGAATATATTTCACACAAACTAAGCATTGCTTTCCATTTCATTTTGATGTAAATTCGGTTCGCTCTGGAAAAATGGATCCAGATTGAACATTTCTTACTGATTGTTTTAATAAATTAATAGTTTTCAAATTTTTTCCTTTTTTTCGCTTTGTTTAGTTTTCAATTTTTTTCTTGTTTTCGCTTATTTTTATGCCATCACTTAATGGCCAATCAACTATTAGGACATTTTTAATAATCTCTCATTCTTCAATCATTAGTTCAGACTTGTGTTTTGGAGCAACATTTTTTAACAGTTTTTGATTGATATTTTGCACTTTAAATCCGGATTAGTAAATCCATACATTTTTCTGGATCTGGATCCCGGGATGCCAAAATGTTGCGGACCCAATGGATCCTGATCCTCTGGACTGGATATATGTTTAGGGTGTCCTGAACCCACGCCAGACCATGCTGCTAACTGTGTAGAAATGGGTTTATCAATGATAAAGGTAAATTACGACAGATAAATGCTTTTGTTTAAAGGGACTGTGAAGGAAAAATGAAAGGGGTTATATGCTGAAAGCTAATCACTTTGGCTCTCGATCACGACCCATGAAACTTATATCTGATGTTCCTATCACGAGAAATTGATACTATACAACTTTGTCAAATTTATACGAAAATTAATGTATAAACAATTTTGTATAAAAGTGGTGGGTTTAAACAGATCAAATTCAGCAAGTATGCAACCAATCTGAAAACTGTGATATCCCAGAGAAAGCTAATTGTAACTTAGGTTTACTCCAATTCTAATTTTATATTTGTTATTTCTATTTTTAATAGATTTAATTCATAATATTATTTATACGTCTTTATTACTTGACCAGAAATTCCACCAATGGCAGTGCAGTAAAGTGGTCACGTGATACAGTATACTGCTCTGCCATTGTTGATAGTTCTGGTCACGTGATTTAAGTTTAAGATTTTCTAAATTTTACATATGTGAACTTTCGTATAATTTTAACACAGTTTTAAATAAATTTCTCGAGACAGGAACATCAGATCAAACTTTCATGGGTACCGATCAAGAGCTAAAGGGATTAGCTTTCAGCCTATACCCCCTTTCATTTTTCCTTTACAGTCCCTTTAAATTTATTTTTATTTTTTATTGATCTAAACATACATTTATTTGTGGACTTTTGTGCATCAATTTATTTTAATTTTTCTGTTTTTAATGAATCTCAGTCAAGCAAGTAATATTTAAAATATTTTAGGCAATAAAAGAGTTTGATGAGGATTGTAATGAGAGTGTAAATATGCGTGTAGGTAGGAGGAATCTTTTCACATTTTTTCATAATTTAATTAAACCACTCATTGTGTTTTGTGGTGAGCAAAGTTTGAAATTTATTAATGTGGTTTGGGTAATTACTGAAAAGTGTGTGAAAAAGTGCTTAGTTTAATCCACTTTTCAAAAAGAAGTAAAGTGATAACCAGAAAATTCCGAAATAGGAAGACGACTTTATAGCAATACTTCTGTGCAAATAGTTTTATTAGACACTTATAAAATACTAATCAAGTGAAAGGGGTCTGTTTACATTGCACAATTTCCGTGTCCTATGCTGATTGGACTACTTAAAGTCATATTATGAGTCTAAAAGTCGTCTTCCTATTTTAGAGTTTTCTGGTTATCACTGTATTTAAACCAGACAAAGCTAGTTTAATTATCTCTTTCTCCTTTTCTTAATTCTTTAACTAAGGTTTACTTTATGCATCATCGGTTCATATATTTTGTAGATTAAAGAAAAAATTGAATTTTATTGAAAATACAAATGTAATTCCCCCTTTAAAAGGTTTACCCTATATCCTTCAAAAGTTAAAAGCCTCGAACTGTTTTATTTTTTATAAATGTAATAAATTCGCATTTCTACTCGTAAACTTTAACACAGTCTCCTAAAATAACCTTTTCTCACCCCTATTTATTGGTATAAGTTAAAAAAATTATTTTATAAAGCCGATTTTCCATTTAAAAACTGTTTGATAGGAATCCATACTGGAACAGTGCTGTGTGGAATTGTCGGGAAAAAAATGTTCAAATTCGACGTTTGGTCTAACGATGTAACTTTAGCTAACAAGTAAGTTCTTTAGTCAAATTTTCAAGAATTTACCGAAAGAATATCAAAATTAAGAATATTTTATTCGACATTTAGAACAGAAGGTAAGGAACGAAAATCTTGGATGAAAATATTATTTTCATATTTTTGAACAAATCATTAGAAATTTTGAAATGATTTTAGGAGGTTGATATTGCGAACAAAATATATTTTCTAGAAAAAGAAATTTTGGTGCATTTTCCCACAATTAATTTTTAAACTAAGATACTGAAAATTTTTTTGATACCATATTGCCATAGGTTTGATTTATTATGAACATTAATCTTATATTTTAAAGAAAATGTAAATTGATAAGATAAGATACAATTTTAAGACTCCAACTGAAAATTAAGATTTTATTTTGTTACAAACCCTGAAACCTGTGTTTTAATTTAAGTGGAAGGATTTTTTCCTGTGATTCCTGGAAATAAATGGCAATCTTTTTAAAAAATAAATTAAGCACATCTTGCGTATAAATATTTCAACAATTACAATCTCTTCTGCGAAGAAGCTGACGTACTTAGGATTACTACAACAAAGATTACAAGGGTACTGTTGTGAATAGGACAAGGATAACTACAACAAAGATTACAAGGGTACTGTTGTGAATCAGACATCCTATTTTTTTTTTAAAAATTAAGTGTCAATTAAAATCAGATCTACAGCCCTTTGTATTCTATACAATGATGATTTCAGAGCCCAAAACTTAAGACAGGGTATCGTCATGAAAACCAGTTTTGGAACCCGGGTTTCAAGAATGGGGTTCGGCAGTTTTGTTGAAATCAACATTTTTGTTATAAAATATAATTTCATTTAGTTTCTTCATATTCTCCATTTTTTCGAATCTCTTAAATCAAAATCTACACAAAAGTTAAGACCCCCTGCCCCCCCAACAAGGAAACTCGGGAGTTTCGTGTTACGATACTCTTTTAAATTTCGGGCTCAGAGATCATTACAAAATTTCATCAGTTAATGATCAATTACATGTATTTTATGTCCAGGTTAGAGAGTACAGGAGAGCCTGGAAGAGTACATATTAGCGCAAAAACCTACGCTTTTTTAGTTGAAGATTATTTTGTACAACCAGGAGAGAAATTTAAAGGTATTATAGGTTTAACGTTAAACTGAAGTGAATTTCACTTTCTATATTTTCAATCAGAGCTGGGAAGTTTTGAAGGATGGATATTGGGATTAATGCTTGATCCACTCTGTATCTTAATCTCAAATTCTCAAGATTAAATAATGCTTGTTCGCCTCTTGTTTTTAATATCCAGATTAATGAACTGATCGGGATTAAGGATATCCCATTCTAAAGTTTTCAGCTCAGAACTCCTTTTATTGACCATCTATATAGGGAAGAACAAAAATGTTTTGAATTTCTAATATGTAACCAGAGAAAGGTTAGAGTAACTGGTTAAGCTTGCTTTCCTCTATACTAAGGAATAAAAGCTAAATTAGAGTTGCTACGAGGTCAAAAAGTCGTAATTGTAATATCGCTTAAGAATGACCTTCTTCCGTCTGTCTAGTTCATTATGTTTTAGCTTTTACATTAAATTTTAAATTTGAAGAAGAAAAAGTATTTCAGCCATTGTCCAGCCATTGACTTTTAGATTTAACCTCTAATATACAGGGTGTCCCACGAAACATGACAATAGGAATACGACTTGAAAGTCGTCTTTGGTATTTGAATTTATTTGTGACATTTAGTCTTCTATCTACTTTAACATGTATGATTCCTAAAACAATTATCACATAATTGTGCAAATAGTTTTATT